ACATCTACAGTATATTACTAGGTACAAATGAGTCACTAAGCCTGGCCCAGAATCAAGGGGAAAGAATTAAATTTCACCTTATGATGGGGAGTAATGAGGAAACATTGCTGAAGAACCTGTGGTATGGGAGATATTGTTGTAACCATCTTCACACCATTATGCAGGTGCTAAGCACCTTCCGTTAAGTTTAATCCTGATGTCAACACCATAAAATGGAGATAACTTTTATTCTTACTTGAAAATTTAATTTTCACTAATTTCAGTGATGAGAAAATACAAAGAACATTTCCACCTGGTTGGCTCACTGGCATTGACACAAGCCTAACAAATTATTATTTTTCAATCTATATCTCCTTACGCTCACATACTCTCTTAGTAAGTGAGATAGCCTCATACACACATTACTAAATCTGAGAATTAAAATTCATCATTATTTCTTCCCTTATTTCCATCCAACATACATTAATTACATTGATACATAGATACACCTCTCTCTCTCTCTTTCCTCACTGCTGATATTTTAGTTACTGCTTTGCCATTGCTTGAATAGATTTAATTTTGTCAGATAACTTGCCTCTTGACTTCTAATCTGTCCTCCACATAGGCACCATAGAGACCATTTTAAAACTAAAATCAATTTCTACTTACCAAAAACTCACTGCTGTGGAGTTGGATCTGACTCATAGCAACACCTCCTGGGGTTTCTGAGGCGGTATCACTACGGAAGGAGATTGCCCAAGCTTCCTTCCAAGGAGTGGCTGGTGGGTTTGCCAGCCTTCTGGTTAGCAGTCAAATGCCTTAGGCACTACGCTGCCAGAGCTCCCTAATTCCACTAATTGCCTTCATAGTATATTGCACGTTTCTTTGCACGGCATACGATGTTTTTGTGCCTGCCTTACTCTAGCTCAGGGACTGAATGAAGCTTGCTGGGAGAGGGTAACAACTCACACACTGTGTTAGAAGTGATACAACCTGTCAAAACAAAACACTACCTTGGAGTTGATTCTGCCTCTTAGCAACCCCCGCAGAGTTTCCAAGGCTGTAAATCTTTACAGAAGCAGCTGGCCTCATCTTTCTCCCATGGAGTAGCTGGTGGGTTTAAAGCACCAATCTTTTGGTTAGCAACCAAATGCCTTGACCACTGCACCACTAGAGCTTGACTATATGGAAATCACTGCCTGTTTAGAGAAGGCAGGTCTGTCACTGTGGTTGCTTGTGACCTTGTGGGCATGAGGGCTCAGCATTGCTAGACCTATTTTTTTTTTTTTTTTTAAGAGAAGCTTGTTGTTGTTGTTGTCATATGCCGTTGAGTCAGACCCGACTCATAGCGACCCTTCCTTGGGTTTCTGAGGCAGTATCACTGCGGAAGTAGATTGCCCCATCTTCCTTCCGAGGAGCGGCTAGTGGGTTTGAACCGCCAGCCTTCTGGTTAGCAGTCAAGTGCCTTAGCTACTATGCTACCAGAGCTCCCTGGACACCTTTATTTTACATGCTTTTAAAATATTGTCTTAATTAAAACAAACACTGTATGCAAGGCAAAAATGTCTGTAGCCCAGAGCAAGTTATTACTCTCCTTTCATCCTAAGATCTTTTACTATGAAGTTGACTCACTAAATAAAATAATGTAGGTAAAAACACTTACAATAGTGCCTGGCATATAGTAAGTGTCACATAAAGGTTAGCTATTATTATCTCTAGTAGAGAGAAAATGTACACCTAATATTTAGTACAACTATACCCCTTCGTGTGGGAGCTCTGGTAGCCTCGTGCCTAAGGCACTTGACTGCTAACCAGAAGGCTGGCGGTTCAAACCACCAGCCACTCCTCGGAAGGAAGATGAGACAATCTACTTCCGTCGTGATACCACCTCGGAAACCCAAGGAAGGGTCGCTATAAGTCAGGTCTGACTCCACAGCACATAACAGAAACATACCCCTTCGTGTAAACTCCGCATTTATAATTTTGGATTATTTCAAACTTAAGTTGCATTTTAATAGTTTCTTGGAATAATTATTTAGCTTGAAAAAGAAATCAAACATCTTTTAACACAGTCTCTCCCCTAGTGACTCACAGTGCCTAGTGCCATAGCATGGGACATGGCAGGATGTAGATAGTAACATATATTCCAAAAAGATTTGCTACATCAATGAGTGGTGTTGGGAATTTTAAAACAGTTAAAATACAGATGGGTAATTTGATTGCTAATCAGAAGGCTGGTGGTTCAAACCTACCAGCCACTCCTCAGAAGAAAGATTGGGCAATCTACTTCCATAGAGATACAGCGTTGACAAGCCAAGGAGTGCTCCCATGAGTCTGGAACTACTCGATGGCAGTGAGTTAGTTGAGAGTTATTGCATTAAGCAGAAAGTAGGTTGGATGCTTTGAGAACACAGAAAAGGTGAGTCTGAACCCAGCACCAATAGGAGTTTGTCTATAAAAACTTCCCAGAAGCAATGATGTTCGGCTGAGTCCTGAACAATGAACAGAAGTTGGCCTGGTAAAGAACAAGAAGCTTAAAGCACTCAGACATTTCTTTTACAGTGTAATCTCTTGTCAAACTATTCAAAATAGGACAATTGCTTAATGAGAATCTTTTTATTGTTATTTATACTATAAAAAAAATACAACAAATTTCACTTTTTCAACCATTGTCCTAATTGGTTTCAAATTATTTCAAATAGGTGAGATTCTTACTAGCATAGATTAAAAATAAACATCTTCCAGCCTTTTGAAAATCTGGTTGAAAGAAAAATAGCAGCTCTCTCTTACTGACTAGTTATCATGTGCCAGCCTTGTAATGTGCGTTTTATGGCATAATTCACCTACACCTCACAAGAAGAAACTTCTATTACTGCCAGTGTTCATAAACTTAACAAGTAGCAGAGCCAGAGTTGGAACTCAAGGTTGCCAAGCCCATTCTCTTAACAACTACGTTAAGTGAAAAATTTTGGATTAACTCCTTACTAGAAAATATTTTCTCATTATCCAATTTGAGGAAAAAAATCAGAGAAGTAAACTCATTAATGATATTACTTCAGATTTTCTTTCTGGGGACTTTTATAAACTCATATATATCATGTTATAGTTTTTAAGTTTCCCTTCACCACTGTAAGGCTCAACCCTTACACTCTGAAGCTGAAATAACAAGATTTCTTGCAGGTCAGCACTGTTCTTCATGTGAAAGTGCTTTCACATTCACATTTTTGTTTGCTCCTTTGCCCCCCACCCATAGATACAGAAATCTACTTGAATAATTGACATCACTGTTTATATTCTCTCAACAGAACATCACGTACTTAAATAATTAAGATGGATTCCTGGTAAAGAATCAGAATTAAAAAAATAAAAAAAAAGTTTCACTGGTAAATACCTAGAATAGTAAAATAAAATAAACAACCAAACTCATTGCCATGAACTTGACTCTGACTCATGGCAACCCCATGTGTTGCAGAGTAGAGCTGTTCCAGAGAGTTTTCAGTGGCTGTACTCTTTGTGGGGGAGTCCCTGGGTGGCAGTGATTAAGCCTTCTACTACTAGCTGAAAGGTTGGCAGTTCAAATTCACCCACGAGGGATCCTTGGAATACAGGCCTAGAGATCAGCTTCCATAAAGTTACAGCCTTGATAACCCTATGAAGCATAGTTCGACTGCACACTTTGAGTCACTGTGTTGGAACTGATTCAAGGACAACTAATGACAACAAATCATAAGGAAGCAGATTGCTAGGCTGCTTTCTTCTGAGACCCTGCTGGATGGGTTCAAATGACCAACGTTTAGGTTAGCTGAAAACATGCCATTTGTGCCATCCAGAAATGGCCTGGAATAGTAATAACTCTCTAAATGTATTATACAAACCCAAAGACAAATATTATAATAAATAAATAAAGTATTCATCAAACTGTTCCTTTCAAATAAGAAAGTAAAGAGCTAAAGTTACTTCTTCATTAAAAGAGCTTCACTTCCAGGTTTTCTTCACAAACATAATCGAAGGCATAAGGACAATCTGGCTGTTTGACCTGCCTCCTCTTTGACATCAACAAATGTGGAGACCTGGCAGTCTCTCCTTCTTCTCTCCCCATCAGCCAGGATGCCCACACCCTCTGTTATGCTGCAGTTACCCCTTTAAGGCTTTGTTCTCAGTGCTTATGCTTGCATATGTTCCCACTGTTGACAACAAACCACAATATTGGATACCATTAGGTTTCCACTGTTTTTCTCTAGTCATTTCTTTATTCATCCAAATCAGAGGATATAGCTGGCTCCACGAGGAAATAAAATAGAGGTCATTACAGCGGCAATGACTTCTAAGCTATTTGCTAAATTTAGCTGTCTGATACTTTCACTGTAATGAACACTGAACTACAATTACACAATGTTGGAAAAGAATGGACGCTTAAAGGTCATTGAGACCAACCCCCTCATTTTTCTGATGAAGGCAGTGGGACTGGATGTGTAGCCTGTGATTTGCTTTAAGTCACAGAGCTTGTTAATGGTAGAGCTAGAACTTGAACTAAGATTCGCTGAGCCCCAAGGCAGTGCTGTGTTCACTGCATACAGATGTTCTGCCTCCTGTTCTCAGTTTTATCTACTAGACCTTGAAGCATAAATATAGCTGATATTATTGGTTGTGGCTTCCCCTCCATGGCCATTCATCTACTTGGTGGCTGAGAAAGACACACCAAAGGTGTCTGACTTATAAGTTGCTACAAAACAAACAAAATGATTTCATACCCTGACCCTGCCCCCAACTCTAGAAACTTCCCGCTTGATGTTCATCAATAATGAATGGCTCATCCTTGCAATACTCAGAGGGAGCTTACGTTGCACTTTTGAGCAGCCGGTTAGTAATGTACGGTGGATAGAGCCTTTCTTTCAATTCCCAGGGCAGTAGGTCCTTCAAGGCTAGCATTGCATTTTCAATTAGCTGCTGAGTGAATGCTTGGCATGTGTATAAGTGAAGAGGCGCACAATTAGCTTATTGTTCCTTTCTGTATTGTGCTGAGAGGATCCAAGGGATTGGTGGGGGAACAAGCCAGTTGGGCATCACTGTGGATGTGGAAGGAGTTACTGAGACCTCGGGCACCCTTCATTCACTCTGGGATTACAGCTATTTATCAGGAAGCACACTGTGGGGCCTGGTGGAGTGTGCCTGACGCAGCATCCCAGACACTATTCAGGCTTATCTTCTCGTCTCTGACTAATTCCCATCATTATCATGGAGCCCAACAGTCCCAAAAAGATACAATTTGCTGTGCCTTTATTCCAGAGTCAGATTGCACCCGAAGCAGCGGAGCAGGTAAGTGACATTGGGTGGGGACCAGTTCCCAAATATAAATTAATACAGAATACGTTCCTGTCGATGGAAAGGTTCTCTACCTCTTGAATATGCCTAATTTTGTGACTTTCAGGATACGTGAATGAGAAATAGGCTGTTTTCCCTACACACTGGTACTTGAGTTGCATTGGGAAAATTACTGACTAAAAGGCATTTCCCTTCCATTGATACTAAATTAGCACCTATTAGAGAAAAATTGTTATATTAGCAATTCAGATTTGGATCAAAAATTGTTCAGACCATTAAAATAACAGGTGTAGCATTTAGAACAACTTTTAAAATAATCTAACAAAATCAGCAACCTTTTATTTCATTATTTATAGAACAAAAAGATTGATTTAGCAGTAAATGCACTAAATGCTGGAATAATTCCAGATTATAGACTTACTTAATATTTTATTTTAATGCTTTTTTAAATTATGGATCCAAAGCACTAATAACTTTTAAGAATATATAATATGATAGATAGGGTTTAAAGGCATATTTTAAATTAAAAAACATTTTATTCAAAGATTATAAATATTATTTTGACATTTCCTGGATTCTTTTTCCATGTCTAATATATCTATATATCTGTACCTCTTTCAGTTGCTCTCTCTCTTGCCATCTAATAGAATATCTTGCCATCTATCTAATAGTAGAAAGAATGTGTGACATTGGTTTACACCTGCATCACCTTTTGTATTCAGATTTACTTAGACTCTTGATGCAATGGTACCACTTAAAAGACCATTTGTGGTATGACTACAATTGTGGGAAGGCAAATGCAAAGAAACTTACAGAGTCACCAACCTAATTCATTGATTTCTTAAAACTCAAATTACCTCTGATTCTTTTTCAAAATATTTAGTACAAGGACTTAAAAAATAATTATTAAATCTAAGACTCATAACTTTTGGGAATATATTGATAATTTGAAGTACATTCACTCAGACTCAGGTCAGATAAATAATATCTTGACTATGTCTCTATGCTGAATGAAGCATAGATTCTATTCTGGTCAAATGTCTTTGGTAAAATTTTATCCTTTATTCTATTGACCTGTATTTTTGAATTTTACCTGTGAACAAACATATTCATGGAATCAGGGATACATGAAGGAGTCTAATCATAATATTCTCCTATAATTCTCACAGTGCGAAAACCCACACATATATAACAAACCTCTTAGTTTTAAGAAATCAGATATTCTCAAAAGATACATATCCATTCTTCGTTGATTTGTTTAAATATTATACTAGAAAATTTAAAAAGCTAATACAAATTAAAATAAAAAATTTATTCTATTAACTTTAGTAATGGTAATTGCTAAATATCTGAATTTTCTAATCTTCTCTTACCATGTTTACAAATAAGGGTAATGGATCTTGAAAGCATGTCCAAAATTATGGGGCTCCCAGAGAGGCACTAAAATGAGCAAGTCATTCCCATGCCTTCAGCTGCATTCTACAGCTATTTCTTTTCGGTGGAGATTACAGCAGTATAGTCAAAGAAAGGGGATACTAATACATGACAGTTCTATTGTCAGTCTTTCTATTATTTTAAAATAGAATTCATGATCACCAACTGTGTGTCCTTCAGATGTCTGCTTTTACATGTTGAGAAAAAATTTGGATAGGGCCATTTTGCAATCTGTAGAGTAACCTGGGGGCAGTGTCTGATTCTCACTGATATTAGCTGGGCCTTTGTTGTTCACAGATCAGGAAAAGAAGACCCACACCAGCATCACTTGTGATTCTCAATGAACATAACACCCCAGGTAAAGAAGCATGATGTCATGACATTTATGGAACAGAATAGAATTGTTTTAAGAACATCAAAGAGCATGCCTGCCAAGAGGTTTCAACTCAGGATTTTAGTTAGCAATAATCTGACAAGCTTAACTACAAAACAGGTTGTAAACAAAACCAAAGAGAAATATTGTAGGAACTATCTCAGCGCCAAGTCTGCTTTTCCTCTAGAATGACACAGGGATGAAGTGCTATGAAATGTTTTGTTAGCATTGCTGTCATGTATTCAGGTGTTTGTATGGAATATGGTTCAGTGCTTATTAATGAGGCTGGTGGAAAGTTGTTTAATTAGGTTTCAAAGTTCAAATTACAGCCCTAGAGATGCTTATATCTTTACAGAGTATGTTTTTTATTTATGAAAGGTTGTCATGGGGTGGGCAAGGAGCCAGCCTTGGCTATAGCTTCTGTGCTGATGTCATCTCTGAATAATGCAATTGAGAAGTAACCAGATCGATTTTCACATTACCCTTTGAGAGCCATTCCAAAAGCTTGCATCCATTTGTTGAGGTTTTATTTTCCATTTCCTGTAAAAAGTAAGGCTGCATTATTATTCTTGATAAAGGACTATGATCTCTAATACACAAACATTATTTACTTATCGAGTGGAGTGAATATCATCTCACATTTAAGTGCTGCTTCTAGAAATCTGAGTAGGACAGTAAAGGTCATGGCATTAACCTGGAACTGCAGAACTTGGTGTTGGATTTTTTTTTTTTTTTTGCAAGTACAAACAATAATGGTGCACAAAAAGAGTCTGAATAATGGAAATACTAAAAACCTAATTATAGGCTCTAGTGAATTTTCAGTTTTAAGAATTCCAGGGCAAAGTAGTGCTTGACTTTTTTAGTTACCATTAACCTAAAGGTAACTTAGCTTAACGAAGTGCACATATGGGAAGAAAGCAAAATCTTAACAGAATATTCATCATTTTGCTTAAACACAGGACAACAATCAGGTGATGAGAAACATGTAAGCTAATTCATTCCTGTTGAAAACAAAGAATTATAACTTGACTCTACATTTTTAAAGGAGCTCTGGTAGCATAGTGGCTAAGACACTTGCCTGCTAACCAGACGGCTGGCGGTTCAAATACACCAGCCACTCCTCGGAAGGAAGGTTGGGCAATCCTACTTCCGTAGTGATACTGCGTCGGAAACCCAAGGAGGGGTCACTATGAGTCGGGGCCGACTCTACGGCAAACAACACCACACACACATTGCATTTTAAAATCATTTTCAAAGATATTACTTCTCTAAATAAATGTTAAGTTACATATGTCGAGTTTATAAGAGGTGCAAATGGATGTCCTTATAGTTTACAAATAAATAGAACTAAAAATTCATAATGACTACAAATTTTCTCAGCTTTGAGGTAATTTTATAGTAATTTTCCGTCAGTGCTTGCTCACAGCGGTAGACTTTTCCACAATGTCCTATAACTTATCTCCCAAGTTTGAAGCCTATCGCTAGGCTTGATTCCCAGGTGTCCCAGACGATGGCTTTCTTCTACCAAAGAACAGCTTTCAGAGCTCTGAGGGCATCGTTACTGTCTGAACATAATGAAGTCATGGAAGTGATCTCTGTGGCTCTCGTTTGAACTAAAGAAATAGTAACTTCTGTTTCTTGAATGTCAAATATGTGCATCTTACAGTTAAGGTAAGTATTAGAGAGCTGAAGTGATCTTTATGAACGTTTTCTCCTAGAAGTAAAAGATCGCAGTGTAATTCTGATTCCAAAGCACGTGCATTTTCTAGAGCATGAAGTGAACCTGAAAGTTTGGCTTTGCATTACCTAGGGAGGACTCTGCAAATGTGACCTCCAAGGCCCTGCAGACAAGCAAATTCAAACTTTAAATAGACCCTTAGTCTGAACCACATAGCTTGGTAGATTACCAATTATATTTAATTATATTTAAATACCCATGGGAATGAAGGCTTCTTCTTAACAGGCTTCCCAATCACAAGATGGCATTGTCCTGTTCCCCAAATTGACACCATTCTTCTATTTATAAGCACTGTTGGACAGAACTTAGATGCAAATAGCATCTCACAGAAAACTACACCATTTTAGTAATCCATCTCCTTGCAATTTTCATCCTTCTTTGTGGAAACTAGAAAAGTTTAGAAGGAACAATCAGCCTTTAGCTGTGTATTGAGGTGTATGGCAGAGATTTTGCACTAGTTATATGTTCTCATGGCAAAAAATCAAAGGCTTACAGCTTTCCCTGTAAAAATGATCTCTCACCAAAACCAAACTCACTGCCATCGAATCAATTCTGACTCCTAGCGACCCCCATTGAGTTTCCAAGATGGAAACTCAAGATGGCAGTTTTCAGACTGCTTTATCTTTCTTACAAGGAGCAGCTGGTGGGTTCGAACCACTGACCTTTTGGTTAGCAGCCAAATGCCTTAAGCACTACACCACCAGAGCTCCTGTAAAAATAATCTAGTACTGTGATTACTAGGGAAAGAACTCTAAAAATATAAAGAAACAACAAGCAATAACAAGAAAACAACAAACCAAAGCAAACCTGATCTTTATTAGCCATGGTCTTGGCTAAGTAACTTCATATCTAAACTTTATTTTCTTATCTATAAAATGTCCCTCTTTTCTACCTAATGGTCATAATGATAAGAGTTAAGGTGAACAAACCTTAAGATTGCAGTATGCAACATAAATGTTAGATGTTATTAAAGGCTGTATTTTGGAATACAACATTTGCACATGATATTTAAGAGTTAAGTAATAAGGTGAACAGAACTTCATAATCTCACCTTTACTAAATAGTTTTGCCTTATCAATAATTTTGTTTGCTCTAAATGCTATTTGAACATCTCCTTTCAAACTAAAACATAATGATAACAATAAAATCATGTACATGTTAAATGACCTTTTTTAAACAATTATTTCTTGTAGCCCTCAAAACCATTGGGCTCTTTAACAAACAAAAATTATGTGCAGTTTTAAATAATGATGAAACGAAATGAATCTTTTCAATTCACCGATATTGCCTAGCAGACAAATTGAGTGTTCTAGGAATCACCTGTCTTTAATGCTGTTTAAAATTCAAATCCCTGCAAATCTTTCTTATTGTTGGTTAATGAAGCAGAGGAAATTAAATTTTCCATTATAGAGACATAAGTAACAAAGCCTTCCAATTCCTATGATAAGAAGAGTGTGTTGCAATCATTGTTAAATGAATTAGACACAGTTCCTTTTTCCCCTTTTTCAGAAGTTTGTAGAAATAGTCAATTGTAAAGAGTATCTGAATGAATGAATGAACTGTAGATTTAGAAGAATGTATGAATTCTGTTTATATTTGGTGCAGGGGAATAGAAAGATATTTCAATATATAAATTCAGATTTTTCTTGTTTGCTAATTCATCTGTTTGATCTAAATATATAAATGAGTTAGGCAGCTTTAGGTAGATTTCTACAGGCAATAAGATGTTCCATCATTCTAGCAAATGACCAAGAATTTCCAGCAGTAGAAGCACTACAGAAATAGATAAGTAATCTGTTAAGGATATGTCATCTTCTGACATGGGTTAGTTAATCAGTTTCACTTTGAAAGAATGGGTAACAGAATTAACATTTTTTGAATTGAAGGTGTCAGACCTGGGAAAGTTCAATGGCTGTGCTGGTTAAGTTTGTATGTCAACTTGGCTGGGCCTGGTTGAGTGGCTGGGGAGCTGGATGTAGTATTCCCCATGACGAGACTGGTAATCAGCTCCATGGTGGAATCTACTGTGAGCAGCTGAGTAGCTGCTTTAGGGATGTGGTCTGCTTCATGTGTATAAGGAGAAGCCTTGGGGAATGGTCTCTAGCTTATGGCACACTTGGACCCTGCATGTAGCTGAGTCCTTGTTCAGCAGTCTGCCAAGCTTTGCTGACCTTGGGATTTTCAATGGACTTGAAGTAATGGTCTGCTGTGTGGTTTGGTGACATCAGGACTGTGCCTTTTTACTTGTCAACCTTGGGCTTGCCAGTCTCAGCATCCAGCACCTGAGTGAAGAAAAACCTCTAGCTCCAGTGGGCTGGGAGCAGGAGGCAGAGCTAAAGCCCAAGGTTCAGGGGCTTTCACCCAGCCCTGAGAGCCTGGCACTTTGAACTCAGACTTAAAGCCTCCAAAATGTAAGAGAATAAACTGTTTGTTAAAGCCATCCCATTTGTGGTATTCTTGTCAGAGTGGCACTAGGTAACCAAAACAATAGCAGAGGGTGTGACTTTATGTTAGAGAGAGGAAAACTCACGTGCTTGCTTTTGGGATTGACTCCAAACAACCAGGCAGCAGTAAAAAAAGATACTGGATGTCTGGGATATGGGTGTAGAGAGGCATCTAAGACAAATTTCATCTTTTTTTCAAATGTTGTTGGAGGCTGCCAATATGAGTGACCTGGTAGCAAACTGCTTATCTTTCTGTATTTTCAGTTCCTGTTCTGATTATGGGTCTATTTATGATGAAGCTAGGCAGTATAATATCATTGTATTTTGCTCTTGTGTAATCTGTAGTTAACTGGTTTGGTTCCATATTTTTATTTAGAAGGTTGCTTATACATAAAATCTTTATGTAGAAACAAATGATAATGTCACTCTCCACAATTTATTCCATCACATTTAGAGATTTAAACATGACTTGTCTCAAGGTGGAATATGTTAAGACTGCATATTTGGCTACCAGTATTAGAAACCTAGAATTGGAAAAATATTTCAAAAAACACCTAGCCCATCGACACATTTTCATGAAAGAAGTACCTAAACCAACCCATGCCCCTGAGGCTTGCTCTGTTTTTGTATCTCAGAGAAGAATCCATAATTATACCTATTTTCAATCGCAGGTCTAATAATTCTAGATATTAGAAAATATAGTTCTTTACACCAAACTTGAGGTATTGTCCACTTTATTCTAAAATAACTCTTCATGTACTCTCTCCAATAAAGGTTTATGTATTTACCTTTTAAATACATAA